TATGAAAGACATCCACTGTTGTTTCATGACATGGTCTCAAATCAAAATCACAGTATCCAAGGCAAAAACGACCCTACAGAAAGGAACACAATTTTAGAATAAGCCACTTTGTAGTTCAAATTCATTCAAAAGAAAAGACACACATACCTGTGGTTTCTTAAAATAATCAAGCCCTCTTCCAATCTTAATCATCCATCCATTGTTGAATCTATTTAAAAATTCACAATGTTATTCCATCTTCACAAGTTTACAAACTGTGGGTACATTTAACATAATTAGAAAAAAAAGACCTTAGTCATATCTACAAGTTATGCAAATTGCTCCTACCATTTCAATCACAATTTCTAGCTAGAGTAAATGTCAACTGTATAATACAGTAACTCCTCACTTAAAGTCGTCCCGGTTAACGTTGTTACATTGCTGATCAATTAGGGAACATGCTCGATTAAAGTTGTGCAATGCTCCCTTCTAACGTCGTTTGGCAGCCGCCTGCTTTGTCCACTGCTTACAGGAAGAGCAGCCCCGTTGCAGCTAGCTGGTGGGGGCTTGTAACCAGGATGGACCGGCAGCCCCCTAAGTTCCCGATGCTGCAGCCGCCCAGCAGGCTATCAATCCGCAGTTCAGCTGTCCCTCCCCCCACTGCCATGTGCTGCTCCTGCCCTCTGCCTTTGAGCTGCTCCCAGAGACTCCTGCTTGCTGTGCCGGGGGGGAAGGAGAGAGGCTAATGTCAGGGTGTCCCCCTCCCCCCTGCTCCTGCACCCCACTTACCCCTTCTCCATATAGAGCAGGGAGGGGACACGGACAGAGAGAGCTTGGGGCAGCAGCTGCTGTCTCAACTTCCTGATCCACTTAAAAAGACAATGCAGTTAAGAGTGGGGTCAGCTTACTTAAAAGGGCAGTGTGCATCTCTCTCTCTCTCTCCCACACACAAGGTGTGTGTCTGTCTGCTATGCTGTCTCCCCTCCCTCCTGTTCGTGCTGCCTTGATGAGAGGCTACATTAACAACAATGTGTTAACCCTTGAGGGCTCAGCCAAGTGCTAGTTCATCATTTAGCAGCAAGGCATTCCCTGGGAAATATCCCTCCCTCTTCCACCCTCTAACTTCACCACCTCAACCAAGCTTCACAATCATCATAGCTGTGAACAGTATTAAATTGTTTGTTTAAAACGTATACTGTGTGTATATCTATATAATATATAGTTTTTTGTCTGGTGAAAAATTTAAAAGTCGCATTTTTCAGGAACATAACTACAACGTTAAGCGAGGAGTTACTGTACAGCAATGTCTTGTTTTAAAAACTAGATCCCAGCGGTCCCAATGTTGAACACAGTATAAAACTATGAAGAACTTACTTTACTGGATAAAGTAACTGCCTTCTGCTTTGAATGACATTTGTAACCATGGTTATAAATAATTTGTCAGGATTAAATAATTTGAAATTAATTCGTTTTCTGCATCACCAACCTTATTTCTCGATCATGAATTGAAGATGAAAATGAGACATTCAGTGTCACTCCATAGTTCTTTAGTGATTGCTTTATTTCTTCTAGACTACTTGTCTGCTGACTCTTTCCACTGCCCTGTTAAGAGTAAAAGTTGTTTTTTCATCATGCATGTTCCAACTGTGTCCATTTATCTTCTTCAATTCACTAACACCACTTTGTTCTTATACTTTTTTTGCCAAGTCTCAAAATGCTTATGAAGGCAGATAAGTTATACTCATTTTTGCAGATGGGATGACTGAGGCACATTGACTGCCATGGCCAAAATCACATAGCAAGCCAATGACAGATTATGGACAAGGACTCAGTTCTCCCTCCTGGTCCCATGCTCTAACCACTAGATATGCTGCCTCCTCCCCAGTACACTGAATTATCTGTCCAGACTAAGATTTGGGCTAGAATGAGTACAATGACAACGAGAGGGTTTATTCTTGTCATAACCCCAAAATATCAAAATGTATCCAGGCCTTCCTAATTATAAAAAGTCTCCCAACAGAATTTATTTAAATGGTGTTTCTTACAATAGACAGTCACCATGGACAATATAAACATCTTTCTTCCAGGGTCACTTCCACTTAGGATTCCACATAAGTAGAACTTAGCAAAATATTTGGAATTACACTATTCAGTGTTTATGTTAAATCCTCTTGACCTGCTTGCATCTCCTGTTGAAGGAGGGAGGGCCTCAGACTGACAAATATTGGTAAATATGAATAATAGATGTTATACATGAAGTTTAGATACTTACTTCATCATAGGAAGTGAGGAGGTGGATAGTTTTCACTTTGCAGGGCCCCTTAACAAGCATCTCACAGAATCGTAAGAAGTTGTAGAACTGTAAGAGTTAGTTTGATTATTTAATAACTGAAAAAAATTATAGTTTTATATGTAAGCTACTTTCAAGATCCACTTGCCTGGTGAACGTGTCTAATGTATGGATCCTCTACCCAAACTTCTGTAACAGTCTCATTAAGGTAGTCTTGGAAAACCTTCTCATAGCTGAAACCAGTTGCATTTTCTTCAATTTTAATTTGCTGGTGGTATTTACCATCTAAAAAAGAAGCATCCCTCACCAAACAAGACAGTGCAATCATACATATGTATTCTATAAAGCCTAGGTAACTGTATTGTAACTTCAGATGTACAAGTGCATCATTTCATGAACATTTTAAAAAATGTACAGTACTTCATACCTTCTCTTTCTTTTTCAATATGTTTTTTAATTGCTTCAGCTCTCTCCATGTAGTCAGATATTTTTTGTCTGTAGTGAGCTTTTTTTGTTTCATCTTTTGTAGCTGTGAATCAAAAATATTCAGATTATCTCAAAAAAGGAGGACAACTACGTCTGGTAATTATTCCCCAGGATAAAAAGTCCTCTGATATTTTTTTCATTCAACAGTCTATAGGAGAGGAGAGAAATCCTTTACTGGACTTACATCCATGTCCAAGAGCCAGTCCCTTTACTGGTTAGTTCTCAATATTTTTCATTGTGTGTACCTATGCTTGGCAGAATTTGATTTTTTAAAAATAATTTTGACTGATAATATCAATGTTTATTTTAAGCACTTTTAAAATTTTCACAGTTCCAGAAAATTATGGGTGGGTGATGAGACAACAATTATTTAATGACAGTAGGTGTTGAGATTCAACAAGTTAAAGCTTTTTAATGGTTAAAACACAAATTATCAACATCACATGTCAAAATATGCAAATTAAATATTCTTAAGTGAAACTCTAAAGTTCTCAAGCAGATTTTTTTTTACATTATTTCTGTAAGTTTTGATTATTATTCATGGAAATACTTCGTCAGTACACAAATATTTAACGTATTTCTGGTGAAATCAACCCTTACCAACATTTATCAATAAAAATCTAAACCTTCCAAACCTACATATACCCCAGAATAAGCTTCTTGAACCACAGGGTGTGTGTGTGTGTGTGTGTGTGTGTGTGTGTGTGTGTGTGTGTGTGTGTGTGTGTGTGTGTAAGAGAGGAATGTGTGTGTGTGTGAGTGAAAGAGAGGAATGTAATAGCTATGTACTAGACAAAAAAAGTAAGTGGGGGCCACTCAAACACAGCAGCCAACCAGCCTTTTGATTTTACTAAGTTTCCAGGAATGTTCTGTTTTTCCTAGGTCTGGTCTACACTTAAAATGCTACAGTGGTGCTGCTGTAGCACTTCAGTGAAGATGCTATCTACACTGACAGGACAGGTTCTCCCCAATGTAGGTAATCTCTCATGGACCTTGTGCTATTTACAGCGGGGGTTACGTCAGTTTAACTGCATTGTTCAGGGGTGTGGATTTTTTATACCCCCTGAGTGATTTAGTTATACTGACCTAATTTCCTAGTGTAGACCAGGCCTTAGTCATTTATGAACAGTGAGGCCCAACACAGGCACATATAACTGTAACATGCCCATCACCACTGCTCTAAGGGTTCAGCACATACATGAATGTTATTAGGGCTGGGCTAGTCTACAGGTAAAACACTTCAGTGGCACAGCTGTGCTGCTTCAGCGTAGACACTTCCTATGCCAACGGAAGGGGTTCTCCACCTCCCCAAAAACAAGGAGTCCGGTGGCACCTTAAAGACTAACAGATATATTTGGACATAGGCATCTGAAGAAGTGAGGTTTTTACCCACGAAAGCTTATGCCTAAATATATCTGTTAGTCTTTAAGGTGCCACCAGACTCCTTGTTGTTTTTGCAGATACAGACTAACACGGCTACCCCCTGATACTTTCCACCTCCCCAAGAGGCAGTAGTGGCACTGTCTACACGGGGATTTAGGTCAGCTTAACTACACCACTAGGGTTGGATTTTTCACACCTCTGACCAATGTAGTTAAAACAACATAATTTTCTAGAATAGGCCAGGCCTTAAAGAGGCAGCACCTGAAGGTCAGCCAGAGCTGGGCTCCCTCCCGCCACGCACCCCCCGAGAAAATGACAGCCCCCCACCCTCAAACGTTTGCAAGCTCAGGAGAGAGCAGCGTGAACTCTGCCACGGGGTTGCATTGGCGCTGCGGCTCCCGACCTTTCCCGGCGGAGCGGGGCGGGCAGGAAGCCAGCGCTGGGTGGGGTGGGCTCCAGCGCTGGAGGGGAGGTAGGGTCCAGCCCGCCGGTACCTTTCAGCACCCGCAGCAGCAAGTCGATCCCCTCCTGGTAACACACCAGCGACTCCTGGAAGCGGGACGCCGAGTCCAGCTCCACCGCCCGTTTCAGCGTCGCCACCGCCGGGGGCTCCAGCGCGGCCACGGCGCCCGGACCGGCCTGGGACATGCGGGCGGGAAGCGGCACGCAGCGGGCATCGAGCCCCCAGCTAGACCAAGCCTGCGCGCGCCAGCAGCAGCCGCCACCTCCGGGAGCCAGGCGGGGCGGGGGAGGCGGTGACGTGATTTTCAGGACCCAGAAGAATCCAAGGCGGTCGCCGGTGCCGCACTTTATTCCCTCCCCTCCCCTCGCCGGAAGTAGCCGGGGCGCGCGCTGCGTCTCGGAACCAAAGTGCGGCAGCTTCTGGGCACGGATTTTAGGGGCTGTCGGAATCCGGAAACGACATCGGGGGCCCAGATGGCGGCGGCGGTGCTGGGCTGCGTCGCTAAGAGACCCCCGGGCGCCTGGAGAGTGAGTGGGGCGCAGAGCGGGGGTTTCCCTGCGCTGGTCGTAGTGGGATTGTTGGGGGCCAGTTTCTCCAAGGGTAGGAAGGGCGGCATGAGAGCGGGACCCGGGCCTGCAGTCCCTGCCTCCCACTGCCCAGGCTGCTGCGCTCCGCTTCCCTGGTCCCTTGAGCCCTGGTGAAAGGGTCGCAGGACTGGGGCTCTTCCCCCTCCGAGCTATCCTGGGCCGCACTAGGGCGGGCTGCAGCCTGATTCCCCCAGGATCGTCCCTCTAGACCGGATCAGCCCCAGTGAGCTGCGCTGCCTGATCGCTCTCCGAGTGCGTGTCCCGGCTCTTGTGAAGGGCCCCACACACTCCTGCCGTTCTGCAGCCTCCGTTCTAGTGAAACCAGGGCTTGTGTCCTCATTTCACTACAACACCCGGAGCAGAAACACAGGCTTTAAAAGGTTTCAAAAGTATTTGGTTTTCTTAAGCAAGAATATGCTAAATTTCTTGGTGTCAAAGCACCCACTGATGTAATAAGTGCACAGTATTGTATCGGTTATTCTGGTTGCACAATGGGACCCTGATCCTAATTCAGTCATTACACAGGTTTATGTACAATACAGACGTTAATAATTTTCTCCTTGAATAAGTTTGACAAATCATGCCATAACTTTTTTAGACTCTGGCAAAAAGCAGCGTGGAATCCCTGACATGGACAGGATGGATTCGCCATAAATTTACTAAGTCAAGAATTCCAGCTTCAGTAAGCACAATATTTAAAGATTTGAAAGCACATTTTGGGTTTGTTTATACCTTTAATTTTTTTAGTAAGACTAATTTGTAACTACTGAGCAATACCATTGTTAAACCAGAGAGATATGCACTCAGATTCTTGTATGAAAAGCCAGTGTCTGATTGTAGTTGATTTTATTTCTGAAATAGGGCAGTCTTGAGTAATAAGCCTGTCACAATCATCTTACAAATTTGGGTCCCAGTTCTACAACTGGACCTGTCTGTGCAGACCTCTGCTCTTATGTGTTCATGTATATGGTTGAAGAGTCATGCCCCCAAAGGCTAGACTATATATGATTGGAGGATCATGACCCCAAACTTTTTGTATCTTTCTGCAAACTGTCATGAGGAAACACTTGAAATAATGTTAGGTTATTTGGAGATTAGCTTTTTTTAATACTATGGTCATATGTTGCTGCTTTGCCCTTCTGGAAGGGAAATTTATTAGAAATTTAGGGGGGGGGTTGCCACATTTTCTTTCTAGTGAAAGACCAAAATATATTTTAAGGGAATATTTTTACAGCAAGACATTGTTGGATTCAGTAACTGTTGAAATGTTTAAAAATAAACAAACAAAAACATACCTTTTGTGAACTGCTTATTTGTAGGTATTTCAGCCACGGCCTTCAGATCATGAAAAATATGGAGGTGATCCTCAGCAGCCTCACAAACTGCATCTTGTCACTAGAATCAAAAGTGGAATAGGTCGTCCATACTGGGAAAAGAAGATAATACATGATCTTGGACTGGATAAAGTATACTTTCTAAATTATTTTATTTCATGTTTATCATGCACATCAGTAAAGTAATTAGCCTAAAAATTTAGGGCAAAATTCTTCTCTCAGATCTTCACCATAGTACACTGCTTTGATATTTTTTTGTCCTGTGGGACCCTGACTCTCCAAACATTTATGCATGTCCTTAACTGTACTACAGTGAGAAATCCCATTGAAATCAAAAGGACTACTCACAATAGTAAATTTGAGCAAATAGGTATGTATTTGCCTGATTGGAGCCTAGATGTATGGATCTCCCATGGATATTAATAGGAAATATGCATTTGTAAGGAAAGCAGAACACCAGCATTGAGACTGCTGTGCATAGCAGAGAATAACTTTGCCCGCTAGCCTTTAATAAAGCTGTTAAAATACAAATATTTTTATGACTGCTCATTAGTTCACTCTTCTTTGTTGGGTCATATTAATCAGTGCTTGTGAGTATTTGGACAGTCTGGGTGTATTAATGAAGATGTTAATGAATCCCAAAAGTGTAATAAATTTTAGCACACTTATTCTCAATAAGTGTGAATTTCCCAAAGTAGTTTAATTTTGTGTACCTATGTTCTTCTTTTATTGATATGTGAATTCTTCAATTGAATACATCAGTTCCTAGAGACATAAATTGCCTTTTCAAAGTGAGTTTGTAACATTTATTCTGCATTGTTTATAGGCAAATCAGCCCAGAGTGCACAAAAATATCCCATCTGTGAATGGAAAACTGAAAGTCATAAAGCATCTAATAAGGTTTGTTAACTCTTCCTTTAACCAGCAACAATTAAAATAACTTGTTAGCATAGTCCATGTTTTAAATAAATTCTCTTGTCTGTAGAATACAGCCCCTGAAACTACCTCATGGAATTCCAACAGAAGAGGAAATGTCAGATACCTTACTTAAGAGCACAGGAGAATTAGTAATTCGGCGGCATCTGAAACCTGTGGAACAAAAAGCAATTAAGTCATAGTATGCGCTGACTATTCTCACTTTTACAAAATAAATTATTTAACGGATAAATTGGGAGTTGTGTGTATTAATAAATTATTAAAATGGAACCCAGCCTGTCCATGGGTAGCACAGCTTACTGTCTCGCTATAAAAGTTTTGAGATAAGACCTTGAAACAATAGCGGGGGGTGGGGAATAGCTCAGTGGTTTGAGCACTGGCCTGCTAAACCCAGGGTTGTGAGTTCAGTCCTTGACGGGGCCACTTAGGGATGTGGGGCAAAAATCTGTCTGGGGATTGGCTCTGCTTTGAGCAGGGGGTTGAACTAGATGACCTCCTGAGGTCCCTTCCAACCCTGATATTCTATGGTTTGCCAGAAGGCAGCAAATGGCACACTGGGATGCCTACCCACCATGTACAGCACTTTACATCAAAAAAGAACTCCTGGAAAATATGTTCAGCGCAGACACAAGCAGCCAAATATGCAAGCGCATGAGTGATATACAAACTTCAGCAGCTGTATGCTAACATAACTTGTGTAGACATGGCCTGAGTGTGGGATACAGGGAGGCATCTATCTGTGCTTGCAATCTACAGCTGGGAATGCCTTTTCTGGAGTCAGGCACCTTAGATGCCTAAGCTGTTGCTTGAGAGGACAGAAGTTAAGCACCTGCCTGACTCCCACAAAAATGTATGTATGGGGGGGGGGGGGGGTTAGAGGAGGAGATGGGCAGGTGCCATCCTTTGTCCCAGTGTCAGAGCACTCACCCAGAATGTGGGAAACTGGTTCAGTTCCCCACTCCGCCTGACAAGGAGAAGGGATTTGAACAGGATTCCAACCTCAGGTGAGTGTTCTAACCATTGTACTATAGTCTCATTCTCTCTCTGGGCCCATTAATATTTAATACAACATAGAATGACTACAACAAGAGACCCACAACAGAATATGTCCTGGTGGTTAGGGTGCTCACTTGAAAGGTGGGAAACTCCTGTTCAAATCCCTTTTCTTCATTAGGCAGAGGGCGGAATTGAACTTGGGCTTCCCTCAGTCCAGCTGAGTACCCTAACCACTGGGCTCAAGGTTAACAGGAGTTGTCCTCCTCTGTTTTGTGTGGAGTAAGCCATGCTTAGAAAATGCCTACCCGATCAGGCCCTGATGCTGTTCCCCCATCTGTCTTCTGATTTGAGGATCGCACTGGGGCTTAGGCGTGAGATAGGCATCAGTATGCAGGCCCAGAGGCAAAAATGAGGTTCCTAGGGAACTTTTCAAGTGAAAATTTACTCAGTGAGTGAGTTTAGGCACCTACAGAGTTAGTTGGCAGCTCAGTGGGGGTTTTGTGGATTGCAGTGGTACCCACATTTGGGATTTAGGCACCTAAATTCCTTTGTGGAGCTGAGCCACCATCCCTTCTCAAGATGAATTATTGGGCTGGAGTCATTTCACCATGTCCATTGTGGATTTTTTTGGGGTGCAGCTGGGTAGCCACACCCTACAATAAAAGCTGAGTTAAAGAGCAAGAAGCCAATTTAGATAAACCCAAATTTTGTTTAAATGGCTTTATCAAGATACCTGAAAAATGACTGATTATATATGGGAACACAAACTTTTATTTACCTTTAAGAAGAAATGAAAGTCCTGAAAGTTCCATTTCTGTGCTCCTTTTTGGGTACACTTATTACTACCAGATTGTCTGGAAGTTAGATCGCATAGTGTTTGCAGCCTTTGATAAAGTTCTATTAAACTATGTGGATTCTTTAATTGAACACAGAACAGGTAAAGAATAATAATGTTGACTACACAAGAGGTGCTTTAGTGCAAAGCTCTCAGAGAGCTGTTCTGAACCTTTTTCAACTTGAACCCCCAAACCATACACTCTTGCCTTTGACCCCACCCCCAAACCACCAACTTTTCTCTACTATGACTCCACTACATAACCCAGAGTCTCTTGGGCTGTTTCAGCCAAAACATCCCAAAAAGCATACATAATCTGGTAATTGTTTTTTAAAGAGAAGTCATTCTTCCGCTCTACTCTGCTCTGGTTAGGCCTCAGCTGGAGTATTGTGTCCAGTTGTGGGCACCGCATTTCAAGAAAGATGTGGAGAAATTGGAAAGGGTCCAGAGAAGAGCAACAAGAATGATTAAAGGTCTTGAGAACATGACCTATGAAGCAAGGCTGAAAGAATTGGGTTTGTTTAGTTTGGAAAAGAGAAGACTGAGAGGGGACATGATAGCAGTTTTCAGGTATCTAAAAGGGTGTCATAAGGAGGAGGGAGAAAACTTGTTCACCTTAGCCTCTGAGGATAGAACAAGAAGCAATGGGCTTAAACTGCAGCAAGGGAGGTCTAGGTTGGACATTAGGAAAAAGTTCCTAACTGTCAGGGTGGTTAAACACTGGAATAAATTGCCTAGGGAGGTTGTGGAATCTCCATCTCTGGAGATATTTAAGAGTAGGTTAGATAAATGTCTATCAGGGATGGTCTAGACAGTATTTGGTCCTGCCATGCGGGCAGGGGACTGGACTCGATGACCTCTCGAGGTCCCTTCCAGTCCTAGAATCTATGAATCTATGAAAAAAAAGTTTATTGTGCCTGCTTTAAACAAAGGGGACACTTATATTCAGTGCTTATAAATTTGATGTCATTTAAAAAAATTCTAACTATATGTTCTTACTAAAAATTATGTATTGATCATTCTAGGAGTGTGTGTGTGTGTGTGTGTGTGTGTATATACAGCGCAGTAGAATGAGAGAGCCTGGAACATGGGGCCTGGTGCAAGGCCTGAGGCCTGAACCAAAGTCAGCAAAAGCCAGGCTATGAGCAAAAATCAGGCCCTGTCATAAAGCAGACACTTGCTTACAAGTTCACTGACTTGTACATGAACTTGGCAAAGGTATGACTAATGCTGCTAAAACACAGGCACTCCTAAGAAGTACTAGGTACAGGGTATTCATGTAAGGACATTCCAGAAGGCTAGTACAGATACACCGCAATATAGAGTTAGGATATAAACACAATCCTGGGAGATATTACAGGAACACACTGACCCCAAGTAAGACAAGGTTAGGAGAACAGGATGATTGACAGAGATGTTTTGTTTGAACCAACCAGTACAAGGTACAGAGTCGATAACTACATCAGGACTGTAATATGTAGCTTGTTCGTATCAATGTATAAAAGAGAAATCAGGAGGGGCACCTTTGTCCAGTCGAGGGGCTAGCAGAAAGTCCCGCTGCTGACTGAGCTGATCCACTGTGATGGGCATACATAAGTTAGTGTTCCTATAGAATCTATGGGATACTAGGACTGTGCTTCATTAACAATAAACTTGGCTGAGCTTCTTCATCACCAAACTGAGTCTGTGATCTTTCTGGATAGTTCTATCGAGATCTGCTGAAGCAGCTATCTGTGCAGAGCTGGGATGGGTACATGGAGAGAACACACGCATGCCAACTGACAACAAGCAGGAAGTTCAGTCCTGCCTGTGTGTGCTGGATCTGGTATTTGCAATGTTCCAAGGAATCCCTGTGATTCCATAAGCAAGTATTACAACTTTTGCCTGAGAAGAAATTTACAAGTCATGAAGATGAAACTGGAATCTGTGAGTACTTGACAAACATTGGGATGTTGCTCCCTGTGAATTAGTGAACTGATGAGAAAGCAGCACAGTACCTGGAAGTGTTTTTTGGATGGTGATGACAAAGCATTTTACCAACAGCTTTCCAGTGCAGATCATGGTTCTTATAGACAGTTATGTAAACAATTATACAAGGTGGGATTGGCCTTTTTGAAATACTGGGAGAAATGGCAAGCCGGCAAGGCCACAAGGAGGGGAATGCCTGCATAATGTGCATTTAGGAGACTGGTAGCATTTTTCCTACACCTGGCCAGAAGATGGCTTGAGTAAAGCAGAACATGCTGCTCTGGAGCTGGCAATACAGAGAGGGGCCTATGCCCAGTCCAAGCCATGAGAGAATCCTGTGTGAAAAGTCCATTTATAAATGGTTTAGCAGGGGAACTTCATAACTTCATCACCTGCTGGTGAAGGAAAATAATCTGCTGCCTATAAACCAGATTATATGCAGACTTCAAAATGTGAAAGCAGAAATCGGTGTTTCCTTAAAGGTATCAACTATTAATTCCCAGCCCCAGGATAACTTCTTAGCAGTTCTTAGAGAAAAGATTGCAAAAGAAGTGGCTCAAAAATTGGAGGAGGCTCAGATGTAAGCTATTCACAGATGTCCCCTGTCTCTCATCTGACCCCCTGGGTCAGATGAGAGAGACTGTTTCCCAAGTGGGTCCCAGCCCAGATGACATTTGCAGACAATGCAGAGGCAACAGACAATGGAGATGGAGTTGCCCAAGCAGAAGGAAGCCACACCAAAGGAAACGAGAATTTGATGCTGCAGTAGAGTCACCATCAGCAACTATTAAAAGGCCCATGTGATGAGCTGCTCAGATACCTGTTAGTATGTGTCTAGTGACATCAGTGGCTGGAAAATCACAATGCTGTTGGACTCAGGATCTGAAATAAGTCTGATCCATGGAGAACAGCCAGTGCCGAAGGGGAAGAAGATTTATTGTAGGAGTTAAATTGTTGACTATTAATCATCAACCACTGCAGACAACAGGAGATAGCCTGCTCCCACTGAACTTGGAGTCTCTTCATTCTAAATGGATTTTTGTTGTGGGGCCCAGTATTTCCAGTGCTGTTGTATTGCGAGTGGATTTCATCAGAGGGAATCATAGAAACTCCTGGGGTATTAATAGTACACACTTGTTCCTACACAACATTCAAATACCCGTGCTGGATGTGGGTGGGAGAATCCTGGGGAGGGCAACTCTTGGGGAGGGCTTAGAGGTGCCTGTACCACGCCTACAGAATGACAGCGAGAAACTGCTCCCTGTGATGACTTGGAATTAAGTTGTGGTGAAGAATTGGAGTCTGCAGCAACAAGGGCTGGGTTAAATATACAGGGGTTCCTCTTAACAATAAAAAACTGAACTAGCTTGAAACCCCCCCTCCCAGGAGAGTCTCTACGTTGTCATTCCCTGAATCAATGTGGACACACAAGG